CAGCAGTATGACAGAAGTGATTGTGGTACATTGGTTTGCACGAATGGTATCATGCCTACAACAGTGGAATTATTACAGATTTATAAACCTTTCACACTAACGGGAAGTGCATTCGAAATGACCGTTGATCACTGTGGCAGTACAGTGATTCGCGTGCCTTTCAACGTGTATTGATTGATTATCGATTGAATTCCCCTTTAATTAGTTGAACTCTATAGGTATGCGTCAAAAAATCTTAAACTGACCTAAATTCTTTATCTGCTCGACTAAAACAGAATCGACTTTGGTCGGTGAATTCACATCTTGCGCAAATCCACGGGTTTGATCGTACCCTTCGAGCTATAAAAACCATCAATAAAATTCGAATTGAAATTCTGAAAATCACTTAGCACATTGATGACTAAGGCAAAGTATCTTTAACAACCTTTACGGCAAGATATTTCAACGAAAGTATCTTTCTTTTTATTGAAATCTTACACTAAAAATTTTACGTCAAATACTATTCTCAACAGATAAGAATGTTCTATTCATATTAATAGAAATGGCTACGTGAAGTGGTTCAGAATTGTCTGTATGCATCAAGCTGCTGTGATAAAAAAAATTTAGCCTTGGCCCCATGAAATCGTTACAGAAGATTGGATGTAATCGCATATTTTGAACAGCAACTAACTAGTATATGCAGACGCGTTCACCCTCTCATATCAAATTAACGAATAGAAAAAAGAAATGTGATGAGTGTCTTCAAAATTACCGGCACACATTCCTTTAGGCTGATTGGAATACCGAAAAAAGCAGGCTTCACGAATCCTTTGTGCTGAGCTTTGCGGTCCCACTCCAGTGCCCATTCCTCGGCTTGCTTAACAAATAAAGCAATGAGTAATGAAGCAAACAAATGCTAAAAATTTGTGCCCGAATGCAGAGAAATTCAGAGAAAAAAATAGGGCACTTTTCTGTCAAACGGCACGGAATCAAAAACTTATTCCTTTATGCGAGACCAGATCTTTTCATAAGAGTGTTGGTAACCATTCGAAAGTTTCAGATCTCTTGCTAGCACCAGAGGTAACCACTTTTTCAAAAAAGTCTTTTTATAACGCTCCAATGAAAGGAAAACGTTTGTGTATCCAATACGAGTTATTCTTGCAAGACAGAGTTTTTTCTCCAAACTATTAGTAATCATTCGACATAATAGGTTGAGGAGAAAGTTTCCCGGAATTTGCCCATAACTTCAACATGTTCGCATGTTTCATATGCAATTTTCACATAGTTTGAAAGCTCGTTTTCTTGCGCATCGATTGATATATAACTCTTCTATACTGCCGCAAGATGGAACTGAACCGCGAACAGAAACGACTATTGATGCTTCACGAGTACAAAGTGGGCACAAATGCCGCTGACACTGTTCGTCGATTCAATGAGGCATGGAGCGAAGGAACTGTTGGAAAGACAGCTGTCTACGATCACTTCAAGGAGTTATCGACTCAGAAGGAGACTACTTTGACTATTAGATTGTCTTTTGTTCGAACTTAGTTGATGCATAAATAAAGTTTTTATGAGCAAATTCCGGAAACTTTCTCCTCAACTTATTAGTAAGTTTCCGTGATTCAAGTGCTGTGCTTATTTTCTCGAAGGACCGTTTCCTGCAGTGTAGCAAGGAAAATAAAATCGAGTTTCACATCATCAGCTTGCTTGTTTTACCAGCTTATCGACAGCGGAGCTGTGTGGTCTCCGTAGATTCAATGTGGCGGCTCCGTCGTTAATCTATTTCTCCGCAAGGTGCGATTTTTGTCATTCGATTCGGAATTTTTTCTCCGTTTTGAATGAAACTCTAAGTTAAACATCTGACTTTGATACTAAAAGATTTTTTACATGCATTCATTTGTTTGTCGCGCTTCCCAACGAAGCAGTACCTGAATTGCACAGCCGATGTAAAAAAAATTTTATTCTGAGTCTTGCAGCGTTATGAAAGGGTCTTTCCGAAAAACGGCCATGATGGAACTAGCCAGAGATTTGAGCTTTGATAACTAACTCTTATATATAGAGTTCTCGTTCAGCGTAAGGATCGGCTTTTGATCCAGCATCATCTAACGGAAAAAACAAAATCTCATTTACCATTTTTGGATTAAAGATAAGTAAACTTTCTCCCATATTTCATAGCTTTAAGTGCTTTAAGCTTATTTAAAAATTCATAAACAACGATTTTTTGTAAGTCTTCGAACGAATGAGATCTTATGATAGAAAATATTTTGGATTTGAACGAAATATGTTCAAATAAATAATAAATAACCAAATCCAACTCACTTTTATGAACATCACGACACAATTTGTTTTCTCATGAGCTTTTATCGCCATCCACCGATAACTTCTTAGCACTTCAATGCATGAAACATTTCCAGACAGAAGATTTTCTAAAAAAAAGAGACTTGTTCAAGGAATTCTCTTTGAAGTTCCGGACTTCCGGTAAAAACTGGTATCACTGAAATGTTGAATGGCGGCTATCTTAAAAGAGAACGGTAAGCGGTCTTCTTCATTGTTATAGACCTTTTAATTGTTTGAACGTCCACGAGATAATTTGCTCTCTTCGTACCGAATCGATGAGCATTGCCGATTTTAGGGCCAAGTTTTTGGACGCTTCTCGTTTCATGCTGACGTTTTCGCACGATTTCATGAAGTTCTCGTCGCCTCTGAATTGAACAATGCTCGATGTAAACAACAAAGATCCGTGTGAGTGTAGATAATGAGTTTCAAAAAATATAAATATATGAAAAAAGGTGAGAACGGAAAAATCTACGCGCACACGATTATTGTGACCAGCAAAAGGGAAAGATGCGTGAATGCAGTGGTCTGAGATGCTTTGATCCATGCGAATATACTTTGGCTAGACCGTTCACCTCAGCAAAAGTCACGTCATCCATCAGCCCGAAATCAGCGATTTGAAAAAAGACTTGTTTGGAAATATGGAAACACTGATTTGGCATTTTGGAAGGCCTTCAGATATCATTGTAAAGACCAAGTATGCAATCAGCTCCGTCCACTAGGGCGCTAATAGGATTGATTGTTTGGTACATTTCCGACAGATTGATCGCAGACCACTTTAAATTCATAATTTCTCAGAAAAAGACTACCTTCACTTCTCTGTTCATTCGTGGAATATTCTATTACCTGTTGCCACTGGATGAAAACGATATGAGAAGTAGCTTATAGCAACGAAAACGAACATAGCAGAAAAGAATGTCATCTGTAAACCTCAGTTTTACGAAGGATTCTAATTGAATTTTCTAGAAGAATATAAAATCGTGCGAAGTAAAAAAAACAGCTTTCGAAGTTCATCTATTAGAAATTTGCATGACGAGAATCATGGGTTAAAAATCATTGCCAATTCAATCTAACAATATATCTTGGGCTTTTCATGAGGTCTATTCATGGGCACTCATACAGTGCGAAGCATATGTTGGGCCTTATAGAATCTTCAGTTCACGGTGCCTTTTCGCTCAGTGAGTTTCTCGGGCATCTAACCCTACATATACGGGAATCGACGATGAACTTTCAACACTTGACGTACGATGAACAATCATCGTGGCGTTTATCAGAGTGATTGATTGTCAGTTGCGTGTATTATAGCTCTTACGTGGGAATAAGTAACAAACATTGCAATCGACTATTTTGAGACCTCGCTTAAGAACAGAGTATTATGAAGAACAATGAGAAATACATTGCCAGATCATGTTGTTCTTCAACGAGGTCTTAAACAGTCGATAGCAATGTTTGTTACATGTTGCCAAACTAGTTATGGAATAGATGGAAATGAAAAAAAAATGAACAGGAAGATCGAAGGAAAAGTGGGGAAGGGTAGCAAAAAAGAACACTTTAACGACTTGAAAAAAGAAAGCACAAACGGAGACAGTGTAAAGGAAAAAATCTGTTTAAAACGTGAGCTAAACACGTTGAAACCGCTCAAAGTCAAAAATCGCTGGGGTCTCACAAATCAAAATTCACATATAGCTTCTCGAGAGTGTTCATTTGATTCTATTGAATATTACAGTCATCTAATTGCTGCATTTTCTAGACAAGAATCAGTCGGCTACATTCCTACAGTGACCTGAGGACTTGTGATGACTCTTGCACCTCAGCGCACAGCAGTCAAAGAAGAAGGCTGAGCGCAAACAATCAAGGAAGATAACAACCGGAAGGCCGTATAGTTGGAAAAGTTTCAAGTTCTGATTCTACAATACACCAAATGATAGCTGTTCATTTTACAAGATTAATATACTTTTAATAACGCTGCTGCTACTTTGGTGGTAGTACACTTGTTTTCCAGATGAATGTCACTTGTCGCCCGCCCACAATGGGCAATGATCCGTACCACTCGCGGCGTGGCATCAAAATTTTAGTATTTATTTAGTAATCAGTTACGACGGGAGAACTGTCTTCTAAAGATTATCGTACTATTTCTCGGGTCAAAAAATTGATAAAAGAACTTGAAAAGGTAATGAAGAGCTCAGAAAATTGTTCTGAGTGGTCATAATCACTGCACCCAAGTACACTACATGGTTAGTGCCGCACGTTGGGGGACAATCCCTCAGGAATGTGCTATGCATTGAGCTCAGTTTGTAACATCGTTACGTGGTTAAATGCATTTCCTACATAGTAGCATGTTGATCTGCCAATATATCTACCAAATCAGTACTTACTTTTATCCTGCTAAATCACTCTGATACCAATTTGTCACCCCTTCAGAGATAAAGGATTTAGTTTGCTTGCAAGTAGAGTGAAACCAATTACCAGGTGTGCACAGCAGGACAATTCTAACAATAACTTTAGGGAAACACAGATAAAATTTTATGGTAAAATAACAAGATAACCATACAAGGTTTTATTTGATAATCACTGAGCGTGTTTAACAGCCAGTATTTTTGGTGCATGAACAGCTCTGTCAACACCAAAGGTGAAAATGTGTGCTACTCAAGAATTATGGCTTGGTGCTTTTTCGCAAACAAAAACCCAGCGTCGAGTTGAGGGAGTTTAACCCCGTATTTCACCCATATCGGGGGTGCGTGCTACCACTACACCACCGACGCACCATTTAGCTACCACTCGTTCTTCAATGTCCAGTGGTAGCACGCGCAAACGGTATGGGTGGATTACGGGTTCAACTCCCGTCTGAGGTCGAATTTTGCTCACCACGCAACTATCTTAAGTGCAAAGGTGTGTCCAAAAAAAAGATGATCATGAAGTCAAACAAGTCAACGATAAAAATTAACGGTGAACTCTACAACTGTTTCATAGAAAAACATTCATTCACTTAGCATTCTAGGGAGTACCTCCTAAACTAAAACTTTATAATGCAGTTTTATAAAACCAGTCGCGTTCAGCCTGATAGTTCAAAAAATCATTGATTACATTTACCAAAGCTGATTAAAGTCATTCTCAATGCTTTTCGTTTCGGTTACAATATCTGTCACTCTTGAGATCCCAAAGGATACGTCTTTGGTTTTATAGATTTTGTTTATCGAGAAAAAAAGCGACCTCAAAGAACATGTGCATCATTAAGACTGAATTCTTATCAAGTAGTTGGAGAGCACTGGGTTCACAAAAATTTCTGCTGACACTACGGAGTTCATCAAAATCATTAACGGTGCACGTAAAAAGACGCACAATAGTTCCAGATGTTACGAAGTTAGTACGCAACATCGAACAACGTGCAATACATTACCAGTGATAAGAAAAAAGAAAAGTAATGCATGATTCCGTATAGTGATGATATGTCACGATGACACGTTACTGAAAAAAAGAAGGAAACCCTAGTCATAATGGGAATGTGATGAGATGCAATGATAATAGCGTTTAGATAAGGTGACAGAGAATTCATAAAACCTCGTAAAACTTTGAGTTTCCGGAGACGATTGTAAGTAGATGAACGTGATTCTCTTGACTCAATCAACTAAAAAACACCGTTAGTAGATTAGAGACGTAAAAAAAGTCGGTTAGCAAACCCTTAGTCTCTGCTGTTATCATTGGAATGGATACGTCAGGTTTTATCGCTTTGACACAGCGTACTGCTGATTCACTATGACTAACAGTTAACCATAATTAACAGTATTCCATTTTCTTTGACGTACGAAGTATGTCGAAGTTTCACATTATGTTTCACTTGCGGAAATCAGAATATTTTAATTCTGCCCGATGGATTCGCTCAGTGCTGTATTTCGAAGAGACGAAGAGCTTCGTATATTTCAGTCCTGGGGAATTGAACCTCGACACAGCAGATTTTGATGGCATTTACACACGACTGACCTCGATAACGTTTACGAAATGCTCATGTCAGTTCTGAGTGTTCTTCCTAAATACTCGGGTTTGAGTGTTGAATTCCTGAACTATCGCTTTTTATAGTGATTTTTCAAATAAGATATACAATGAGTTCACGATATTTTCAAAAGGTGTATGTACATGCAATAACTTATTATCTTCTTAAGGAGAGCTTTTTCTTCATTAAGTTCATTCGCAGGTGGAACATGCATTCATGTCTCTCAGCTAAAAATTTGTTACTATAAGAATACTAGTAGGATTCAAAGTCAATAAGGGGAAAAAGGCATGCAAGCAGTGAAAAAGCAGAGGGAAAGTAAGGAAAAAATCCATTTTGATTTGGGTGTTCTAACGAATTCACACACGATGTCTAATAGTCATCAATTTTCCTTTTGAATGATCAGTTATAATTTCATTAATATCCATCCATAAAGCAGTTCACCATAGGAGTGTTCTAAAAGGAAAAGCGAGTCACAACTCAGGGAAATAACGTGGACACCTCATCGACGTATGCAGACGATCGATATGGCATTACATAAACATTTTGTAAGTGAACATGTCATTCACGAATTCCTAATTTACTAGGTGGTAATAGGATGGAAATAACATCATTTATTCAAAACAAATAAAACTTTGAAATGACGAGAGCGATTTGTTGGGTCGATGAAATTTATGATTTGTAGTTCAGGATGTCAGCCGTACTCTGGCCGTTGGTCGCAAGGAATCGCAAACAAAGATGCAGGACGAGGTCAGTCACAGCCAGTTACCAGAAATGGTGAGGTATTGACATCGAAAGCAGCGATCCTTGCCCTTAAAACTTTTACTCGTACTATCCGACGTCACTTACTGTGCGGATCTTAACGCTACTCAGGTTCAATTTATTGGTAATCACCCGTCACTTTTGAAGGTATTCGGATTTGCGGACTTGATTCGCCTACTATTGGGTCGTCCCATAATTTCCTTCTCATTTCGACAGTTTTGCTGATTCAGTTGTTATTTGTACGAGGAAACCAGTTTATCAGTCGGCTATATAGTCACAATCATGATCAATGATATGCAACCAGTTCCTGGCTGAGATTGAATGCATTTCTCCTAGAAGAATGAGACTGGCAACCAAAGAAGTTGGTGAGGACATTTCCGAAACGTTGCTTCGAGGCGCGGGAGAGATGATAATCTGATGGGGCAATATTAGGGTTAAAAGGTGGATGTGGTTTCGTGGCTTATCTCAGTCTCTCCAACATGTGGTGATTCAAGTTTGCTTTGTGAGAAGGTCGGTCAATGCATGAGGTGTCCATCGAGATATCTTTTTGTGGTAATATAGTTCATTTAGATGACCAGCAATGATTCTACAGCGGTGTCTTAACGTCTGCTTGAACATTCTCCAATATATTACAATTTTTTGGCAATAAATCTATTCAAAATAGAAAAGTTGAAAAAGGAACACTGAAAAATTTTGTGATAGCCCGATAGTTGAGGATATCGTCTCCATGAAGAGCGTCAATGTTCATCGAGTCGATTCTTGTGATTCATCAAATGCTTTCTCAGACAACTTTAGTGTTAAGTTGATGAAATCAAATCGGTCGGGCTTGACTGGGTCAGTACCGCATCAGTGCTTTACTTTTATCGTACGGCTTTCCTAACTATTGCGTATTCACATCTCTTCAACCAAGGTTGATTTTATGCGCACTTACTAACACTTCGCGATGATGTGAAAAAGTGCTAACGAAGGTTTAGTAGCAATGTTTAGGGAAAATCAACGCTCAGTCAGAAATCTTTTTATTTTACCGCCTTAAGCGGTGGTAAGATGTTCTAATATACCCAGTGATGAAGAGTGATGTACAAAAACATTTCCGTCAGGTGGGATCAACCCACGTTTCACCGTATCCTGGGACGCGTGCTGAACCCTTGCACTACCAACGATCACGAACAAACATTTTTTCATGCAACATTCGTACGCCTAACGTCGTTCTCAAAATGTGTACCACGTCGTGATGCCCCGTTTGGATGAAATTTTGCTGGATTGCCAGACTTCTCAGGTAATTTCCAGTCTGCCGAATCGAGCTCATCATCGTTTGCAACATCGTGCTCCTGTGAATGAGAGGAATGTATTGTCGGTTTGCGTTTTTTTAAATGTAGGTTTAGTTGCAGATGAACTTAGTTTTGAGAATACTCAGTTTGGGTGAATGTGCCCGTGAGATAGAGTTTGTAGTGCAGAGTACAGCGAAATTCCAAGACACCTAAGAAGACGAGGAGAGAACAACGTTGATTGTTGATCCAAATAATGTAACCTAGTCATAGTTTATCAGTAATATACTACAATGCTCTTAACTATGTTAAACTCTAATAAAACATCTATACAAACCATTTGTATGAAATTTCTGTATCAAAAACTAAATGAAAGCTTCCAGATTTGTTGATGAAGCGTCATGATTTACATGGTTCACGTAGAGCCGACGAGTAAAAAGTGTTCGGTTGGTGTAAAAATAACTGCTTTTTAGGCACTGCTGAAATGCGCCGTTTGATAATGGACTATATCTTACACAAAAGTGGTTATGTCATGCATCATTTCAGAGCACATTTCTCACCTTATGTTTTGCTGCTAATGAAAAGTAACTTGCAGTTAATGACGTAAACATCTTAAACTATATAAATTATATTAGACACAAAGTAAATCCGAGCAGTTTTCTAAGTTAAGTTCTACAAAGTGGGTCGTAAGCAACGGAGACAACTTGCGAGATCAACAGCGCAATTTGGCCCAGGATATGCTATTGAAAGTGCAGCGCAGTCGAGTTCCAGGAAATTTTATAAAGAAGACAAGAGCTTCTAAAATGACGGACGTAATGGCCAATCATGAAAAATCATCAAAAGTCATGGGAAAAGCTATCATCGAGGTTGATCTTTTTGACACGTTGGCAACGACAAGGCTCGATTTCAACCCTTGTCGCAAGCCGCGTGTGCGGCGTGTAGGCGTGGCGGCGCGACAGGGCGGAATCTGTACTATCGCGCTTTACAATGGAAATATGGTAGTTTGTTTGATAATCTGAAGTACTGATGGGATACCATCGTGATGAAATGATGAAATCTAACAGGAGATATTTCGACAAAAGTTTTATAATTCAAGGAAATGCCCATGTATCGAAAATCATTCCAGCTTTCAACGGGAAAAGCAATTAATGTGAAAGGGAACTTATTTCCAGTTCTTATAAACTTGTTTTCTTTCTTTTTTACTCATACTTTTCTATCTCTCACTATGCTTGCTTTGTGAAAAGACTTTTATAGCCCGTTCAACTAAAAAGGACACGTTTTACAGTCAGAGTTTGTTTTTTATCAACTTCACAAGGTACTTCTTGGCAATGCAAAGTAAATGTTTAGATCCAAGATAACTATCGATACAAAATGAAAATTGTGATGCAAAATAAAGAAATGATATGAAAAAGGTTAGTATGAGGGTTTATAATAAAGAGAATGCTCATGCATCAATGTAAATCTATGATTCAACGAAAAAGGAACAATGAAAGAGGAACACCCTCCTACAAGGAAAAACATTTTTTCTGATTCCATGCAACATTTTTTCTTGTTTTATTGAAGTATTTATTAGTCATTCGATAACCTGAATAGCGCCGCTTTGACAGCATGCCTGCTTCCTGGAAGAACCTTAAAACTACGTTATACTAAAGGGGAAGATTGACATTTCGCCCTCGCGATGCGTTGTTTCAACTTCACAATGAAATTTTTTACTATCTTTCTTAGCAATAAACTTTGAATGTATGCAGAG